TGAGCAATTTGATGCGTGTATTGGGTAATGAGGCCATTCAAGATCCAACGAAAATGGAGGCATATGTACGCAATGAGGTTAAAAGCGACAGGTTGCCCACATGAAGGCAAACGAAGAGCGTAAACTGACGGACGAAGAACGACGTGATAAACGGCAGCGTAAATTGGATGAAGATGCCGCCAAAGGCATTCAAGCCATGGTATTTCGGTAGTTGTCATTATAAATATGCTAAACAAATAAATAGAACTGACAAACTGTTTGGCTAGGATTAACAATCTTACCCATCCACAAAAAAGTTTAAGGTCGAGACGAATGCTATTCAATTGGGACTTACAGGTGCGGCCATCATTAGCAGTCGGTTTAGCGTGGTTATTGTTGAAGGCGGCCCAAAAGTATTCGAACATATAAAAAGCTAATGTTGCGGCGAATCAAATGGAGTGATCTGGAGAATGAAGACGAGAACGAAGTTGAAGCAGAGAATGGTAACGAGACTGGGATGGATACAGACGACGTATCGGACGGTAAACAATCGATAAACAGATGCATACTGGCTTGGGAAGGCGAGACAAAAGGAAGGACATTTAGAACATTTCGCTTCCGCCGTTGTCCAACAGAAGGAGCGGCAAAGGAATTCCTTACACACCATCGAGCAGATCACTACTGGGATATTGCCCGAAATATCCAAGAAGAGGATATTATTGCGGACTCGAATCAACTTGTCTAAATAAATACATTTCATACATTTATTGTCCGCAACCTGATGTTTCAGCCGTATAAATGCGATTAAAAAATAAACTCTATTTGGCAAAATGACGACAATCTACTTTGCAATACTGTCTTGTTCTAAATTCAATCTATAAAAGCAAACACGGAAGCTGAAAATGCATAAATGAAACAGGCATCACATGCTTAGCTATTTTATATGCTATAATAATTGCGAAAGCAGCAGCAGCGGAGTAAAGAGCAGTAAGATTCAGATAACAGGCGAAAATTGATTGTGTAATAGTTTAGTCGCACAAACTAATAATATGACATCAGTAGTAGTAGCGCTCAAATGGCTACACTTAGTACCATTCATTCTACTGAACATAGAACTGAGCAGTAAGTATTGTAAATTATTAAAAATAAATCTATGCTAATGATTAGCTTGATTTTTAATGCCATTCATCAACCAGTCACATGCTCAATAAATAAATGTTACCAATTGTGATCATTAATTCTTAAATCGTATTAAATAACTAATAGCTATTATTAAAACCAAATTGCATAATAATGTTAAATGACATGTAGTATACATTTATTGATATATAAATTAACATGGATTGATCAATTACGTATACTACTTTTAGATCAGCCCACGTAAATATATGACAATTAAACTCAATATTTGAAAGGCTTGCGTCAATATAATGAAAAGCATGAACAATATTGCACAAGACGAATAAAGCATTGTTTCACGCCTTCAAATAACAAATAATGTCTTTTTCGATTTTCAGTTTATTTCCATATTTGGTCTGATGTTCTATTTCCATGTATAAATTTTTTATTTTTATTGTGCATATCCTACTCCTATCGCTAAAAATATTGAGGCAATATAAAGAATAAAATATATTGTTATTTGCCGGTAAATATTATTTTGATTATTATAATTTCTACACAAACTCACAATAGCTACAATCGACCAAATAAAATATTATTATTTATTTAAATTCCGTAAACTCAGCTGATGCCATATAAATTATTTTAATTTGGGATTTTAAAACCACGTTTTTTGGCAAACCCCTTATGTTTTATTAAACCATGGCGTTTCTATAAAAGTAAAATAAAAAATGTATTTGCTGAAATGCTAATTGTTCTAGAAATTCTTTTTAACTTCCATTTTAAGTATACAATACTAACACGCGAATTGGCAATGAAGCTATAAATACAACACATAATTAGCTTTTATCAGTGTTATTCTCTATACAATACATTTGACTTCTATCTTTTCTTCTTACGTTTTTTTGATAAAAACACTACCTTTACGTTTACAAATTTTTTAGATATGCGCTCTTACGTTCCATTTGCAGCAGTGTGTTGTCTGCTTGCTGCTACCACCATCAGTCATGTAGAAGCCGTCCCTGCAAGAGGTGATTATACTGCCATTAAATTACTATTATGTATCAATACTCATCAATAATGTCTGACTTGCCTGGTATAGATTATATGGATCTTAGTAGAATGCAACCGGCCCATAAAAAGATTTTAATGGAAATGCAAGCAGCTGCGCTAGAACGCCAAAGAAACAATAAACCACTTCCTATGACGCCCTCCAAAGTACCAAGAGATGGTGGCAATTTTGTCTGGAGCGCCGCTCCTATAATACCTGGCCAAGATACTGCGTTCGCTCATATGATCCGCCAGCAGACTTCGAATGCGCCAAATCAGATGCCACCTACTCCCACTTTTCTCAATGGGATAGTTACAGGCACGACATGGCGCCCAATCAAGGAAGGTCATTTACATACAGCCTTTGTAAAGTTTGAGAATAAGCAAAGCGCCTTTCTCAAGTGCTCTACCGAGATTGAAAGAGCCGAGTCTGAGCTTATTGCATTTAATGTAAGCATTCAACATTGTATAGCACTATATACTAACATATTTTGTAGCAACTGGCTACCTATAATGAAAAATTGAAAACGCATCTCGGTCGTAATCATGTCATCAGTAAGCTGGCTGATTTTAAATATAACAATGCTTTATGTATTGTACTTTCTTTGGGCGGTCAAATGGATCTGCGTGAGTTTATGAGCACGATATTCTATTCCAATGCACCTAAGGGTATGAGAGTAGCTCTTATAAGCTTATTTTCTTATCAGCTACTACAAGGTAACGCATTATAGTAATTACCAATACTTATTGGTATTAACAGCATTTAAATTAGGACTTGCATTTATGCATGAGGCCAGATTAGCCCACAATGATATCAAACCGGATAATATTATGGTTGATTTGACCGATATTAACCGAATCAAACTTACCATTATTGATATGGATCTTGCATCAGTTATGCAGCCTTTAGATAGATACGGACCAAAACCCGATAATCCTAAAGGTGGTACCCATGGTTATTATGCCCCAGAGAGTGTCGTTGCTACAAAGTACGACTTACGTAAAGGCGATTCTTGGAGCGCCATCTGCACTCTATTCGATTTCTACTATAACATCACTCCATTTGGATTGAAAAATGTTAATAATCAATGGTTTTATAAGAGCGACCAAGAGTATTATATTGAGTTGAAAGAGTTATACAACAGTGGAACGGATGATCAAGTTCCTGCAAAGTTTAATGGACTTGATTCTCAAGCTGAATACAAGCAAATCACCCTTAGCTTTTATCCCAACTTAGAAAAGGCATTTATAATCAACCCAAAACTCCGTTGGACGCCCCAGCAAATTTTAAAAGGAGACACATTACCTGCACCATGGATATAGAGAAAAGAACACACTAAAAAATAAACAATAACGTTAACTGCATTTGCTGCTATTTGCAAGTAATTATTTGTACCAACTATAGTATTTATTATTGTAAGTTATACTAGTTGTGCCAGTACATTAGTTTATAGTCAAATGAAAATGAATAGAATAAATACATATACTGCCCAAAAGAGTATAATATATGTTTGAGCTATCACATTCTATAGTAATAAAGACGCAGAATACAACAAAACGCAAAAAATACGTTTTACAGCTACATCTTTAATTATAAATTACAAATTAAAATTAAAAAGACATCAGACCAAGTATGCAATTCACATTGAATAATATCCCTAGCAATGATCATAATCTGATCCAATAATTATTTTAATATCCATGCTAGGTATAAATTTAAATAAATAAATACAACAATATTGTGGTGTATAATAGCTGATAAATAAGTCACTTTTTAAATTATAAACTATAATTTTAGTTTTCTTTCCTTTTTAATAATAAAGCGTATTTGATAAACATAAAATATTGTAAAACGCTATGAATAAGTGCATGTATATTAGTATTGGAGTTGTTGTTATAGTATGTATGACAGGAATATAAATTAAATAAATTGCAATCTACAACAGATACAATTAATAATAGGCAGGTAACTTTTATTAATAGTTTATAATTAGTAGACGACATAATAGTGTGTATTAGAATCATATATAATGATGAAACATAAACAATGATAAAATAAAGTTTTTAAAGCTATAGTTTGAATGAAAGCAATTTAAATTAATTAAATCTAAATCTATATTAAATAACGTTAGCAATAGACAAACATCGGCTTTTAGTATAACATAATTATCAAGGTATAGTCTGGTACAAAGCAATATTAATAAATAATAACGAGTATATTAATGATAAAGCTAAAGTCAAATTGATAACAATTTTGAATAAAGCAAATTTATAAAGTTTATATTGTATGATATGTGTTGTGTGCGTTGCAAATAACACAAATAAATAAACCATCGTTTTATTTAACTAAATTGAACGACATAAATAACCTGCTTATTACTTCAACCGTAATCGCTTATTTAGATAAATGATTATAGTTGAATATTTCAGTAACAATAGATGTGCTGTGAATATTAATAATGTGGTTGGATAGATAAATAGGTTTATAAACAAAAACTGGCTGTATACACAATACATGTATACCAAATAAAGTCATTATTCCCAGTTTAATATACTATAACTTATGCTAATATAGCCTGTCAGCATAAACAATAACGTTAAAATTAATGGTAGTAGCTAATAAAATATTTATTATTATTTAATAATTCAATTAATTACTACACATATTATTATTAATAAATTAATTAGTATTTATTCCAATTTCCGTTGTAAATAACATGTCTTTTTTATAACCAAATTAATTAATGTATCTATAGCTTTTATTCAGGCATATTCTATCATTTTCTATTTAATTATCAAATATATTTTGAATTTTAGAACAAATATTATAAAACGCTTTAACTAAAAGTTTTGGTTGCTTGGCCGAGTGGTTAAGGCGACAGTCTTAAGAACTGTTCTCAGTGATGAGGCGCGAGTTCGAACCTCGCAGCAACCAAATCCTAGCAGTACTCATTGTGCTGGTTCTTTTTTTGCTATTTTAAACTATTTTTTGCATAATTAATGCTAAAAGCTTATTTCTGAACGGCCGTTACTGTCGGTTTACATTTTTTAACTTTAAAATGATGTATTTTTACGGTTAAGGATAAATATCCACATAAAAAGCCATTATAGCATATTATATAAGTATTATTGTTAATTAAACGCAATGTTATTAAGTATACCAGTTTTTATATCTATCATATTTATAGCATATTAAAACGGATCTAATTTAGTACAGTACCTATAATGGCTATAATAGCCACAAAATCTATGAAGAAAGTGCGGATAATGGTAATACAAAGTGGGTATTACTAATAGCTTGGCATAAAATATAAAATATTTAAGTATATAAATATGAATGTCAAAATAATTTGCAATATAAAGTATATCATTGGTGCGCAATATAAACCAATAATATGAATCAGAATGATAATTGAATATGAAATATGAGTAGTTGCAATGATTATTTTATGTAAATGCCGAATAGGCTGAAGCAATGATCTGACTGCATATCATCATACAATCAATACGTCTGTATACATGTGTTTCAAGTCATTATATGAATGAATAGCTATTGGTTCACACTGTACATCAATGGTATAATCTGTAAGATACAACATTCTTGCACCCATCATAACCATATACTTAAATAATCCACTAAATGTACGCAAATATCCGGTGGTATTATCGCTACACTCTACTTTCTATTCAATAATCAGTGCTATTTACCTATACTACTACACTCTATTGTCTATTCTACTTGTTGGTTTTGGCAAATCTATACCACCATAAAGCTTTCTATTGCTGTCGTCTGCACTCTCGTCGTGGCTTTGTAGCCAATATGATTATAGTGGATGCTAAGCCGGTTCTAACCCGTTTTAGTAGGTTGCAATTATAATAATTGATTATTTTGCCAATTAAATACTATTTGCATTGCCAAATTGATATTATTAGATCGTAAGCAATCCCATATATTGATTGGATATGCATTGCTTTACAATATTAATTATACATTCTTAATAACTTGTGCTGATAGAGGGCAAGTGGTATTGTACACCAACTAGATATGGACTAAACATATTTAATAAATTGTATTAGCAGGAAGTAAATGCTATTGTATATTAACTAGTTATATAATGAATATATGCAATGCATTGTGTATGTTTAAAAATTGCATTGATAGTTCGTAAGTAGCATTGTATATCAGCTAGCTATATACTAAATGTATGGGATCACCGCGTGTTATTCAATAATCTGTGCCAATAGGTTGTAAGTAAAATTACATGATTTCAACTTTACACTAATTCCATGATGTATTATATATTTATTTATAAAACATAAAATAACCGATAGTTCAAGACGTTGGCATTAGTGTTGTAATTAAGCTACTATTCCAATATATTCTAAGTGCACATTTGACAAAAAAGCACGGCTATTCGACGATTGTTTAGCCCGATTATACATCAAATTTTAGCCAATGTCCCATTTATTTATATTTAATTGATAGTATCATCATGCTACCAGTAAACCTGCCACTAGCCATGTTATTCAATTATGCAAACTTACAATAATAAAAACATGCCTTGTTTTGATTATATTAATAAAGTAATTATTAATATACTGATGGTTTATTTTGATTCAACAATTAGAAAGCATTAACCGAATATTTGCCCAACTATTTTGTATTAGTGGTCAATATACACACGCGTGTTAATGGCCAAATTGCTTGATGGCTTGACTAAACAACTAATTCCAAAAGCATGGACTGATACTGGCAATCAGCTATCATCAACTTCGTCGATCGCTTTAATATCGTCTTACGATGAGCACAAAAAAGGACGGCGTGCACTAAAGGGCAGTTTAGGCGAGAGAAGAAAGCACAAAAGTGTTATGGAATCCAAAAGGCTTGAACGCAAGTGCAAAAAAAACAATAAATCACTATTAATACCGTGTCAGTCTTTTAATAGCCAGACGGCCTAAACTGTATAAACTTATTAAATGGATATTTGCGATATATGTAATTGATTATAGTGAAAATAAAAATAAAACCAAAGTACTATTGAGTAGAGTGTGCAATTCGCGTTGGATTATGCCTTCGGAGATAATCATATTAAAACATGACAAATATTTTCAAAATATCTATAAGCATTTAAAATGTTGTTTGTTGTCATATTTATTTGCTAGAAAGCAATGTGATTACATCAGAGCGTAACCAGTCTAATAAACTAAAACATGGTTACGTTTTATTTATAACTAATAAAGAATGTATACGCTCTAGTTAAATAAAACAATGTATTACACGATGCATTATGGCCGGGGACTGGTGTATTTGAAGTAAAACATAATCCTTGTTTCAACATTATTTAGCACAAAGGGATAGATTTGTCAATCTTGTCAGGTTGTAGAGAAATATCTATGTTTGAAAATGTGCGTATGTTTCCCCTCAAACTGTTATCTTTCCAATAATTATATCGTATTCTAACCTGAAAAACCAGTTTACAATTATTACATGGAGAACCTTGACAGTAAAAAGGCGACGTAGAAAAAAAAAGGCGACGTAGTCTGAATACGAAGAACTAATGAGAAAGGCGATGTAGTCTGAGTGCGAAGGATCAATGAAAAAGGTGATGTGTTTGGATGCGAAGGATCAATGAAAAAGGCGATGTAGTATGAGTGCGAAGGATCAATGAAAAACTTAACGGAGTATATGGATGTTGTTTAAAAACAATGGGTGCTTTAATTCAAATATAAATATAAGTAGCAGTATCTCATTTTTGTATCAACACACACACACACACACACCTTAAATACGCACTTCAACTTTGTTTTTTCGTTCTTGAAAACGACTGCTGGCCACGTTTTCTTTTATAAAATTAATTATCAATTATAAATCGCGTTGCAGGACAACAGAAACAAGCTTAATTATCATTATGCTTTGCAAAGATGCCATTAAAGTGATTGCCATTGCCACTATCGTCCAGATGCACTGGATTGATAACACTAAGTCACGTCCCGTTAACGGTATTAGCCCATCGTCGAATAGTCAAAAGCCCACAACAGCAACTACCAACACGGTTGTTACAACAAAGAGTGTGACCGATCCCAAGAAAGGCATACGTCAAACGCTCAATGAAACTGGCCGATGCATCAAGGAGGGCGTAATTAACAATGCGTCGGAATTTGCTGCTGGTGCCGCCGGTATCACCACTATTATGGCTACAACAGCCGCACTTGCTGGTACCATGGGCCCAAACGCACAAGTTGTAGGCGCTGGATTTGGTGCGGTAGTTGCCCAGAAAACGGGTGAATATGTCGGCCAAAAGGTCAAAAACTATAAGGCAAAAAATCCTACTTTGCCAGCCATAACACCCCGCACCTTAAAAACTACATCATCTGCTTATAAGTCGAAGTAACAACAATAAATACAATGTTTTTAATGCAAAAGTTAAATTAAAGACTATCTTCAATGTTATTTATTGAATCATCCAACGGAGACATATAGCATGCGCGTATCATCTGTTCTATGGCGGCATGTGGCCCAATAGAGTGCACGAAGCGTGAAAACTTTTTGACAATACAATTCATACGATATTCTGCCTCTGAATCTACCACTATGACTTGTTAGTTCCAATGATTGCCAAAGCATACTATTAGTCTGCTCTTACCTTGTGATGGCAGGTGCACTACTAATTGTACATTTGGGGTGACATGTGCATAGTCGTCAACTTGCATTGTCCAAATAAAAACAAGCTCTGGAGAAGTAGATCTACAAAATAATACAAGTATGCACTGCGTTAGTTGATAAAATAGCAATCAATATATTATTCATACTCTGGACCGATAAACCGTAAGAATATTTCCTCAGCTGCTTGTTTCGCATCATCCTTCTTTATTTCATCTTCACTAGAATTAGATACAGTTTTCTGCTTGGATGGTTCTCGGAATTGTTCATATTTACACGCTAGGCTGTAAAATATCTCGGATCGCTGAACATTTAATTTTGCGTAATCGGTTACCAAACGAAAGAATTTAAGTAAATGACACTCTTTTTCTATACTAGAATACAACTATAAATAATACTGCCACTACTGTATCCTTGTACTTACAGTTTCAGGTGCTGGTTCATTTCACACTGCATTTTATAACTAACACGAATGTTTAGATTAAGAACAGTTTTATCTGCTTCATGAACTTCCATCAGCGCGTTAAATGGCAGATTACTATCTATTGTGCGGCCATACATCTTGTAAACTCTCTTATTTCCAGCTGGATAGCTGTTAGTTATATCTATTGCACTAAATACTGTGTTATAATTGCTTACCACCCTTTCTTAGTGGTGCCAAATACGTTTCAACAACACTGAAATTCAGCCTAGATATAGCACTTGCCTATCAATGTCCACAGTCAGTCAGTTTGGCAGTATTCTCTTTTGGCTATTTGCTCACCCATTCAAGCTCATTCTCCTTCACTAGTAGCGATAAGTGTTTCTCTGATGCCAACAATTGTTCCAGTGACTGCGACCTTAGAGTTAACGTATTCTTCTTTGGTTTTTTTGTTGCCATAGCGCAATAAAGCTCATAATCATTCCTGCTAATCAATTCATTTCTGAGTATATCATCCTCGCTAATTTTATTAAATAATGATTAGTCTAAATCAGTATCAATCTACACTTACATTGCCTCATTTCTTCTTTTATTTGATACAATGGCCGATGGAGTTTCTGTCTGGCGTATTTCCGCTAATTCCCGTTCAAGCTCAGCCACTTGCTTGTAGACTTTCTTTAATTGGGCTTGCAGTTTCTCTTTTCGCAGAATAATCTGTTTGATGGCTTCATATTCAGGAATATCCTTGTTAGCCATCACAGATTCCTAAATGCAATGTCGTCAGATTAGTCGGTGAGCTATCGGCAGTTGGCATGTAAGGCTTGTATGATGGTTTTATATTTATAAAATGCCG